CCCACAAAAACCCAAACCACCAAATCACTTTCAAATCTTCACCCTCATTTAAAAAGCACAGCTAATGAGACAGAAGATGGTACTGTCCAAAAAAAAAAGCACCTATTATTTCTGAGATCAGAGGGTACCCCCTGCAATCCATGACAAACTGTTTCTTGGGCATCAGTGTAAATTCAAACAGGTCATCTCAGGCACAAATTACCTTGGTGGGTTGGAAAGCAGTAATGAAATTAATATAATTCTCATTTTTTATTCAGAATTATATTAGAAGCTTAAAACTGGCAAAAATACCTTTTGCTGCCAGGATAAAAGTCTTTATTAAGGACAACCCAAAGGTAGACTTTTTTCTAGTGCCTATAGGAAATGCAAATGCTTGCCTTTCTTTTGAACATCTCTCTCCTTAGGGGTGAATCTTAAATCTTCTGCCACGTCTCCAATATATTTACAATATATTATGCAATTTATTTTTAGCATAATCAATGAGATAAAATAAAAATGTAAGAATTTATTAATTTATACCTGCCAAGGCCAGCAAGACAGTGCCACTTATTAGTGCCACATTACTTCAAAAACTGCTTTCTGTCTGCTAAAATAGTGAAATTTACTGATTTGAGTTTAATTTCAGTTTTGAACACCCTACCATCTCCAGAAAAAATCATCAGGTTTCATTTACATGCACACAAGCCCTGGGAAAATGAGTGTTCCTTCTTCCCCACCTGCACCTTTTGCAGAGAACACTCCCTGTGAATTGATATGAAAGAGCATTCTACAAAAGAAATCAAACGGTGATACCGTATAAAAATGTCTTCAAGATATGAGTAAAGAATCATTATGGTACAAGGCAAATTCATTTGATGGAAGCTGGGAAGTGATGTGCTATGAAAGGCTGGTTAAATCTTAATGCCCTCGTCAAAACTTGCACAGTGACATTTCTGCTTTCAAATTTAAACTGTAGAAGAGTGAAACCATTCTACAGTCATTCATTTTCAATGCACCTTTCTTCTACTTTGGAAGTACTTGAAGATTTACTATTTAGTTTAGAGAAGTATGGTACCTATCAGTTCCAAACTTAAAGAGGTTATAATGATGTTGATTTCTGAAAAGTCTAATGGCAATTCCGAATTATTAAAAGTAGTACATGATAAGGTTATCTATAATTAATCAGGGGGATACATAGTGCTGGCCTCACAGTCTTTACCATAAAAATACCATCCTTCAAAGACATGTGGCTATTGGTTCTAACACGTACACGTACCTCCATTCTACGCTTTTCTAACCAGGATGCAGAAGATCACACCCTTGAACTCGACATGAGTTTTCTGCCTAGCAGTACATGCTATGCTCCCCCCCCAACAATAATAAAAAATTATGTGCCCATTAAAAAATAGCATCATCAGACTGTAAGGACAGAGATCTGAACAACTTTTACAGTCACTCCTAGTGACTACAGTCAAAGTGACCTAGCTCAAAGTTCAGAAGTTGGTAAAATATAAGAATAAAATAATATTTTCCAGTAAAATCACTCATATCTTAATCATAGTGTAGTACATAATAGGCTGGAAAAACTGTCAGTTCATTTTGTCATGAAAATGGGCAAGCATTTATTTAATTAACTTCCATCATCTCTCAGGTAGCCATGTCTCCCAGGTTTAAAGACCAAAACCAACACTAAACCCAGAAACTTGATCCATCTTCTATTTACAAGTGAGATGTTCCTTACTAGCGGGTAAAAAACGTTTTGCTGAGCTATACATTATGTTTTTTTTTTTAAATATTGTTAGTCAATAGAAATATGAAACCATAAAATAATCATTTAAACATTTCATGACCCTGAGCTAAAGTCCCAAGAGTGAAAAAAGTTTGACATTAGTGTTCTTGAGTGCCTCACTGCAAGTTGCATATTGTTTTATCATATTCTCAAAGGCACATTATCTACATACTCTACAAGTAACAATCAAACCAGAAAGTGTCAACACAACACTATCTTTGCACAAATAGAAACAGCCCTGCACAACAGCATGTCTCTCAAACCCCTACACAAATGGTACTCGACCCACTGATGGTCACATAATTGGTCATTATTATACAAAGAAATAGGCAACAAATTATTGTTGCCTACACTACAAAAATACTAATCTTTTCAGGTCAGAGGTACACTTGGTCTGTCACTTACTTGGCTAAAACAGACTAACACTGTCAAAGGGAAGCACTATCTTTTAACCGCATACCCCAAGCTCTACCTCCTCCTCTCTTCAATAAATTGAAAATAGCTATTACACGCTCAAGAGACAACAGGGCAAAGACAAAACATCCAGATGGACTGCACTGAGATATGAACTAATTTCCCAGTGATAAAAGCCTAAATTCAGCTTAAAGGACTCTTTCAGAAGTCCATCATTTAAGATTTGGTTGGGAATACAAGGTGGATGACAGTAACTTTTGATGTGCACAGTAATACAAGTTAGGCCATCTAAGAAGTATCTGAGCTGTGTAAACAGAAGAGTCAGTAATTCAGGCAGGCATGACAATACAAAACAAATAATCACCACACCTTTATCCAGAAAGATAAAGTAGTCTGAGGTAATACACTGAACAAACAAGCTCACACAGCTAATGCCTTCAGTAAGGATAAGGCACTGTGTGGTGGACTAGCAGTTTAAACTTATCCAGAAAAGATGCTGTCCTTCACACTGCTCATCTTAGAATGCTGACCTCCCAATTGTGTGTTAATGCTGTTGAATTTCCCCTCCTTAAAAATGCAATGTTAAAAATTCAGTAAAACTTTGCCTCAGGCTGTAGGATGTTTTGGAGGGGGAAAAAAGAAGAAAGGAGAATTTAGTCCCACTTTCCAGAAACATTCAGACCAAACCCAAAGTTGGTATCATTTGTCTTTGCTCTTCTTGAAGGAAGCATTTTAGCAACACAAACCAACCCCTTAAGTTACTAAATACAGTAAAGCTGATATAAAACATTATGCTTAGTTTGTCAACATGAGCAGAAAGTAGTAAACACAACTGAATACATTCCTTAGTGTTGCGCAAACTCTGTAGAAGGTGTGCGTGCCGATGCAGATTTAAGCAGAAGCGAGAAGCCACAGCAAATCTCAACCTTGAATTTCCTGCCTTTTGTAACGCCCATTTTCCTTTTCTTGCTGAAATATGTGCTTTGTAAGATATCACATTGCAACACTTTTAGACCAGTATGTCAGCTTTCGATATGTTTGTCCCAGATAATGAGGAGAATCTGTTGACATCATGTCACATTATGACAGCCTGTTAAGCGGGTTAGATAGTTTAATCCTCTTCCACAGAAAGGAAGTTCATAAGTCTCAGAAGGAAAAAATACAAGGTTTATCATTGCTATGAACTAAATAATAGAAAAAAACTGTCCCAGATTTTAGAATTCTGAATAGCAGCCTAATACTGTAAATTTATTGAGAAGAAAATCATTTTGCAAAACTGGAATACAATTGATTTACCAAGAATTTTTTAGCATTTAAAAATCATTTAATAACAGGCCTGACCATAAAATAGTGGCACAACAGAAACGTAGGTTGCAAATGTGACGTGGAATGCATAGAACCTCCGGGGCGGACCAGCCACAGTAAATACAACAGTCATAATCATGAGTGTAAATTCACTTTCATAACTGGCTTTTTCTTCTAGAAGGTTAAGAGGGTGTATATAAATATTATAGAGAAAACATTTAAAAAACATTGTTTTATTTTTCAGAAATGCTGGAAGGAGTTTCAGCTCAGCCAAAAATGAGTAGGTTTGCTGGGCCAAAACTGCCCTTTCTGGTTCCTAAAGTTTCCTATGCTTGTTATGAAAAAAGAACCAAACCCGACATTAATGATTAGGTGGTAGAAAATGGTGAAAAACATCAACTAAGGAGCTAGTTCTCGACAGACAGAGGACATGGTGTTTCAAAACACAGTGCTTAACAGCATTAACCTTGAGGAAATAATGCTAGGAAGAATTTCCACCATTTCTGCTATCTTGAAAAAAAAAATTAATCCCATTAGCCACAAAACCCCAGTTCATTACCAAGCCAAACAGTAAGTTCCACACCTGCCTATGAGGATCTCTGGATGTATAGTTTGGTGGGATTTAATTTAAAAAGCAGCACAGAATAATAGGAATTTTAAAGAAAAGAGGACTTACAGTACATTGCCTTGGGCCTCTGTCTTCACTGAAGGTGGCAACAAGCTCCTAGATTGCATAATGCTGCTATATTTAGTTTTAGTTGAAGAGAAATACAAACCTGAAAAATAACAGCTACTCACTGGTTAAAACAGATACATTTGGCATTCCAGCCCACCATCCCTGCACTAACTTGTCATTTCCCCCTCATTGCCTCCCAGGATTATGAAACAGTGACATGCCTACAATTCAAAGTTTCCTATCCTACAACTGTAAAACTTAGATTTGCCAAAAGTATGACTACAGCCCCTAGAAATCATCCCATAATTTTATGCACATTACATTTATGGGATAGAGCTTCACATGGTACATACAGTGGTACCAGCATTTTCTTAACAATGCAACTGAAACACCATTGTCTCATTCAAACTTCTCTTCTCACTCTTACAATCAACCAGTCAGAAACACCACATTTATGATCTCACTTAATTCCCCTCTCCTAACAACTCCAGGAATTCCAAAAAGCAATCTGAAGAGCAGCATTTGATATGATCCCCAGCTTAAAATCATACCATGAAAAGCCATTAAAACCGGCTCTCCTACATAAAAAGATGCTTGGCTGACTCGAGATACTTGATTTCCTCTCTGCTGTCAGATCTCTCATGCTCTTGTGACCTTCTATTCCCAAACTAGCAGGTCCCTATGTGTAAGGGGCTCCCTTTCTAACCCCTCATACCTCACTCCAACTGAACTACAGAAAACCTGTGGAGCAGGAATACGGTATCCCAACGTCCTTGTCCAAAAAGCTTAAGAGAAACTGTGAAAAGGGAAACATAAGGTAAAAAAAAAAACAACCCCAAAAACAAAAGCCCTACTAAAATAAATTACGTAAAGTTCTGAAATCAACATCACTTTTGAGGCAACCTTTCCAGAGACCTCTTGGGTTCCTTTCTTCTCTGAAGCACCTTTTAAGTTGTATGGTTGTAAGAATAACTTTAACTATAGAAGCTATATGCATCTTTTAAGAATCACATTTTGATGATTATAAAAATTTATCTATTATACAACATAGGTCCAGCTACACTGAAAAAATTACACCGCTTATTGAAATACATTTCATTTTAGAAACAGACTACTAAATAGGTCTATACAAAAAACTCTAAAATAATTTCTGTAGTAAAATAAAGAGTGTGTTAGGAGAGCTACACAAACAAGAAATTTTTTTGTCTTTCTTTATAATGCTCAAATATACTGTGATACGTGGCTGGCTCACTCCATAGCCGGCACCAAAAGCTGAAAAGAATCCATTACGATACACAGTGATACAATTAATGCTCTGTATTAATCTCACAGCCTTTCCGATTAGTACAAAGAAAACCAGGCCTATCTCCTCTTTGAGGAGAAGTCCAGGATATAAAAGCAAGCATACCTCATCAGCTGATATGAAATTATAAAATTCCACAAGTCTCAGTATCTGAAATTTATAAAAGTCACCAGTGAAACGCAAGCAAATTGGGTTTAAGTCCTGTTGGCTACCAGGTTCAAATGAGCACTGCTGATCCAAAACAGGATTTCCTTGTTTGTTAACTTGATTCAAGGGAAAAAGTAGGACCATCTGCTGGGGTTAACAGAAAGACAAAGATCCTCACCAACTAACCCACTGTACTTCCATGAGGGCATGTTTCCATGTGCATAAAATGGGAAAATAGCTGGCAGGAAGCAAAGGTGTTAGTGGTGCTGTGCTGAACTGTTTTTTTCTGCCAGGTGTCGCAGAAAGTTGTCCTCACTCTGGCCTCTGTGATTTAAAGGCTCACTCTTAAAAAGAGCTGGAGGAGGGGGTAAATGAGGAACCGGGGGGACTGGGAGATGATGTGGATGGTGAGGATGAGGATGTAGATGAAGATGTGAATATGGGTGGGGAATGGGGCGTGGAGGAAGTGTGCTCACTGGGTTCAGGTTGATAGGTGGAGTTGGGGTGGTGGGTGTGTTCACTACAGCAGGGACTGTGGTGGCAGAAGTCGTGGACAGTGGGATCTGGACAGCAGTTGACACATTGACGGGGCTGGTAACACGGAAGCACTTCTCCTTGTGTGCCTTGAGCATGTTGGAGAAGCGAAATCGCTGGCCACACACATCACATGGGTAGGGCTTCTCCCCTGTGTGAGTTCTGCGATGTCTCTTCATGTTTGGGCGGCTGGTGAAGCTCTTCCCACAGATTTCACAGATAAAGGGCTTCTCTCCTGCCGAACACAGATATGGCAATCGGTTAGGCACAAACATCTGCTAATACTTACTTCAGCATACTTATGCAAACAAACTGCATCCTACAAAAGCTACTGTGACTGCTACCTTCAGTGAATAGACAGACGGCTGTTCCACAGAAGTTCTCAGTCTTTATGAAATCCCCTCTCATCTCTGGATTTTGATGCACAAGACAATCTTTTATAAAGCTTTGGAAAGGGGTTCCTTCAGACCAAAATAACAAGGAAGTAAGCCTAACCTCTCATTTTCCCCCTACAATGAATCGCAGGACTACAGACAGATTTAACAGTAAGTTAATGTATTGACCTTTCCTGATTTTCTGGGTTGGATAACAGTTTTGATCCCAAATTCCAAGGAAGGGAATACAGCTGGAAGTATAGGAAAGTTTTTGTCCTGGAGGTGCTTTTGCTTTTCTTTCATAAGTTCTTACCAGTGTGTGTTTTCATGTGCTCATCAAAGTACTGTTTCATGTTGAAGTCTTTGCCACACCACTGGCACATGAACTGTTTGTGCCCAATGTGGATGCTCATGTGGGAACGCAGCTGGTACTTGTACTGAAACCTCTCATCACAGTTCTGCAACAGAAAAACAGCAACCCATGATATTCAGGCATCATGTATCAGCAAGCAAGGCAGTCACGGGACAGCGCTCAAATGTACTATGTGAAGGACTAAAGAATACCTGAACTACAGGCCCTCACACAAATGCAGAATTTAATATAGCGAGAGTAGAATTGGGTCTGTACTAAAAGGTCTGCTGGCACAAAAGCCTTGGCCAGGAGTGTGGAACAGTCACAACCTTTAGTTGACACAGCTGTTGGCAAAAGCCTGGCAGAGACACAGTTATGCCAACAGAAAAGTGCTTCTGTTGGTTTAAGGTATCATTTGGAGGTTTTGCAGCTTTGCCAGCTATCTCTGCTGGACTACGGCATGCCTCCACTAGAGGACTCTGCTCACACAGCAAAACCAACAGCAGCTCTAAGGCAGGCATGTTTTTCAGCAAGCCAGTCTGTTCTCCAGCTATTATTTACTGGTATGAGGTAACTTCTTTCCCAATCCCCAAGACTACTCTGCCTGCGCTACTGCCATTAGTACTATGCATCTGGCTGGAGTTGTGCCCCACTTCGTGGACAGGGTGAGCCACCAGACCTGCCCTGGAAACAGGAAGGGCTCTGCACCCACTCTGCCTCCATCATGTGATACCCACAAGCATCCCCATCAGATGACCGAGACATTATCTGCCCCAGACATATGACTGGTAAGCCTGTCCCATACCATCTCCTTCCTGAGGGCAGGCATAAAATTACAATTGCAAACGCATGTGAATGTATCGGTGAGATGCTCTGCCCCATCCCACCACACACACATGCTCGGTTTAAGAAATGCAAGTTCAGAGCACTGTCTTAGATCTCAAGGAGGCAACAATGCTCTGCCCCATCCCACCACACACACATGCTCAGTTTAAGAAATGCAAGTTCAGAGAGCACTGTCTTAGATCTCAAGGAGGCAACAGTTGCAGCGAGGACAACGTTTTTTCCCACAAGTGAAAATCAAGCAGTAATTTGTTTATTTTCACTGTCGCCACTTCTATCTGTTTAGAGTTACTGGGCAGGACAGGGAGGATTAACGTAATTTGCATTGGGCTTTGTTATGAACACCGAGGGAAAACTAGGATTCAAATCCTGCTGTAGTGTGTACTTATTGAGAAAAACACGACAGCCAGCAGTAAAAGCAAACCAAATACGTTCCAGTTTGAACTGCTGCTAGATGCACTCCTGCTGTGCTCTCCACAGAGAGGAAAATTTTCCTCACATTTTTATGAAACTGCACCTCATTTATAAGTCAGTCAGTTAAGTTTCCACCTACATGCCCTACTGACCGTGTTACTAATTTTATACCTTATGCTACCGTATCTAAACATACTAACAGTTGCTGCCTCACCTCACATCTGAAAGGTTTCTCTCCAGAATGCTGTAGGGAATGTACTTTGAGAGACATACTGCGTTTGAATGATTTTCCACAGGTTTCACATGTAAATGGCATGTCCTTTGTGTGTGCTGCAACACAACAGTACATTAGAGAGGGTCATTCAAATGCAAACCATTTTTTAACCATTTTTTTCCTCCAAAATCTGAGCAAGAAAATGATTACTACTGAACAGCTTGTAAGTATATACACACATGTACACACATACATATTTTCCTTGCTGCCTACTACTACAGACTTGAGCATTTTGCTAAGGATAAAGCTCAGACAACTGAATTTGCCTTACTATTTTTCTCCTCAAAACAGCAATTATGAGTTAAGAACCACAAAGACACGTTATGAGGAAGAACCAACACAATCGCCGATCAATAACTCACCAACCATATGTTTCCGCACGTGGGCCATGGTGTAGAACTTTTTTTCGCAAATCTCACAAGAGAATTTCTTTTCTGCATATCCGTGGACAATCTTGATATGTTCATGGAGGGACCAGAGCTTCTTGAACGATTTATTACAGGAAACGCACTGAATGAATGGAATAAATAAAAGGAAGTTTAAATTAGAAAGATTCAGTGATTCAAGTTTGTGGAGTTAAGCCACGTATCTTCCTCTTGCATGACAAAAAGAAGCCCAAAACAAGTCAAAAAGCTGTATACTGTCTCAGACTGTAGTTCAGCTTATATTTACTGTTTCATACTTGAAACAATTACACTAAGAAAAGTCAGATCAAGCAGGATTAGAGAGGATGTTAACACACTGCATTTTGGTGCCACCTGAAGAGCACCGTAGCCACTGCACTAACTTGTTTCCAAAACACAACAGCACATATAGCTGGATGCAGCCCTCAAGGAGCTAACACAGAGAAGACGACTCCACAGGCACTGATGCTGTTGGTGTGGGAAGAATCCCAACCCCTGGTGTGGGAAGAAGCCAACAGAGGTGGAGGAGGCCAACACCACCAAGTTGCCTTAAACCCATCTGCACGTCCAGTCCTGTCTTTTACAGGAGCACTGTGACCCCTCAAACTCCAGGTCTAACAGCCCGTGAACTAGTCCAAGTTCTCCCATCCTTTTAGCTCTACACAGAAGACAGCTTCCATCTTGCAGCTCTTGACCACGCGGAGAGTCTAGTACACAGTTCATACAGCAAAGCAAGCTGTCACCTTCGTCTTTCGTATTCTGACTCTTCATTTATACGTATCAGTAGCTCTATAGGTCTAAAATAACCATATGCAAAGAATGTTTTTATCTCTTCCCACAGCTACTGTGAAATATCCAGAAAGTCAGCAATGAGCAGGATCCAAAGGCTTTCATGCATCTCTTCTTCCTCAATAGAGTTAGTTCTTGCTAAAGACTTGATTAAAAAAAAAACACCTTTGTACAATTTTGAAAAAAATCTTAGTTGTTCAACTTGATAGCAGACGCATATGTGAGGATACCAAGTAATTTTCACCTTTGAAGTTGAAGAGGAAGGCATTGTGGCTTGTTATTTTTTGTTAGTTGTTGAGGCGTTTGGGGTTTTTGGTGCATCTCCATTTTTCTGCCCATCAATTACCCTCCTTCCCTCAAAGTAAAAAAGGCTGTATGCTGTTCACTGCAGAGCTAGCAAACACTACGTGTTCTGTCAACTTGAGTTGTTTCTTCACTGCACAGACAAGTTACGATGCTTCCAGAGTGCTTGAATCTCTGCAGGCCTGGAAACTCTGGTAAAGCGCTCAGCGGGCTGCCTCCAAGGAGAGCCTCTGCCTCTAAAAGTACCTACTTGGAGGCATGTCAGGAACAAACTGTAGTCTTTGGGGAAAAAAAAAAAACCCTAGAAAATAAAGCAATGCTAAGAAATGATCAAAATTCCCTTGATTTAAGGTTAAGCAAGCCCTTGAAGCAGCCTGCCTATGATTTAATTGACGATCAGCAGCAAGTAATTTAGATCACTAATACCGAGAGCTACACAGAGAGTTTAAGATGACAACAGAAATTTGGTGAAATTGCTCATTTTAAGGATGAAAACCAGAAATTACCTGAAAAAACAAATATATTCCATCACTTAGATGAAAAATATAGAGAGGAGCCAGCCATGTTTATCAGTTCAATTACCACTTACATAATGAAACAATTTTTTTTCCTAGACAAAGCTCCATATCCCTCTTGACATATTAAGCCCTACATTAATGTAAAACTTTCATATCCCGTTACTCCTTTTGCCAAGTGTAATAAAAACAAATTAGCAGGCAGCTGTGAAACACATTCCAAATGTCAGGACAGACAAAAATACTGGTGGAATATATGCTTATACTGAGAACTTCAAGACGACTAGCAGCGTTTCTGGCACTAGAAATATTTGGGAAAGTTTCTGGACCCAATTCTTCCGGTACTGGATATAAAACACAATTTCTACAATTTCTTATTTTCCTATCACTTTTGGACGTAGGAATGGTACCCCTCAGAAGCATACGAGTGCATGGATTACAGGATGCTTCTCCATTCTATACCACACACAAACTTATTCATGAATTCCCATTTAAAGTCAAAAGATTTTATGCTGTGAATGAGCCATCTGGATGACAGGGCATTTCTTAAATTTGTATTTAAGTGTTCTCTGCTACACTAAACTTTTTAAGTCTTTATTTCAAAAACTGCAAGGACATACTGAAATGTTTATGCATTTTACTAACTATGCCTAAGGCTCATTATCTTATATTATACTCCTTCCTTCAGTCTTCCTCCTATGAGCTGAAACATAAGGAAAAATAGCATAGAGTTATACAGAGCTGAAGTTGAGTCTTACAGCAAAGAGAAATTGCAATAAATATTTCAACTGTCTCCCACACAGTGGGAATTGAATACCAATTCAGTTTAGCATTTAAGCAAACAAACAAACAAAAAAATCTTAAATCTTTCTGGTAAAACTCACTGGACAGACAAAAAACTTGTTGCCCTACAAAGTCTCAACATTTCAGCTCCACAGAAATTGAACTCAAGCTGCTTCGTACTGGCAGGGGGATTATTTCAGAAGTAAGTGGCAACACTGTGCCTGGTTTAACAAGGCAAAAAAAGCACGTTCAAATTGCCAGATAAAACAACAGTGCCCCCAGTTACATGAGAACATAGATGCCTATGAGCAAAGTACAAACCACAGATGAATCAAACTCTGAAACTCTTTCCACAACTTAAACTTTAAAATGGTTCTATTATATCACAGGCTTCCATTGTTGTATAAAATTAAAAGCTGCAAATCTTCTGGTGAGAAAGACCAGAGATCTTTATATTATCAGTGAGATTTACTGAGCTTTTTGCCCTGGGAAAAGGGCAGCCTCATGAACAGATTTACTTGCTGAATTCATACACGTCCATACGCATACATGAACACTACAGTAAATTACTTGTGTGTAATTATCTCAGCAGGATTTTTAAAAGTTACACTTTAACATAAGTTCAAATCCTGACTTCACTAGTTTCTTTCTCACCTGCTTGCCTCTCCAGTATTTTACAAATTTCTGATTCCAAAACCAGCAAAGTGGCATAATTCCATTCTCCCTTGAAACCTTACCTGGACACACTCTGTGACTGCGTTTCAGGACACTGAAACACTTCGAACTTTAAAGCTAGTGATAGCTGCAGGTGCTCAGCACCTGAAGGAGGAGGGTTTATCCTGTCAAAGTACTTCACTGCAAATGCATTTGTTTTCAGGCCAGTTACTCTTGAGTCTGACACTATTAAAGCAGCTTTGCATTTTCCCCAACTTGTAGTTAAATATTAGAGTAACTCTGCTAAAGCAGATGTCAGTTCTACACTCTGTTCCCTGCAAATTACTTCTTTTGGAAGACACCAAAGTGTTGATACGTAGAGACAAGGTCTCGGTCAGAACCTGGTCTGCACAAAAGATTTCCCCCTCTGAAGTGTCCGCTAGCTGTATCCAGGGCACGACAGAAGGTATGGAAATCTGGCAAGCAGGTGAGCAAACCTACCTGGATATTTTTTTCACAGTCTGTTTGCTGGTGAAGGGACAGCTCACTTTCTAGAACAAATTTCTTCCCACATTTGTCGCAGATCTGCATGCGCCTATGAGTGACGTTCATGTGCTTCTCCAGGTACCAGCGTGTGTTAAACACCCTGGGGCACTTCTCACAGGTTAAAGTCTCCTTCTCTTCACACTTTGATTTCTGCACAGGTGCCTTGGGCTCCTTTGCAGCTTTCTTCTTACGCTTGGGGGGCTCCACACTTTTTCTACGACCCCTTGTAGCTCTGGGTGATGGGGAAGTTGTGGCTGCTGCAGCAGATGCAGCTCTCCTTGTTCTCCTTTGTGCAACACTAACTTTTTCCACTCTTTTCTCTTTTTTCTTCTGCCTCTCATTTTCCTCATCATCATTACTGTCTTCAGTGGCCTCTTCCCCACTGTCACCCTCCTCTTCCTCACTGCTGGTCTTAAGAACAGCAGTCTCTTTGGATTGGGAGGGGACACCCTTCTCCCCTTTTGATACATTTAATGTTTGGTTGTTAAGGTTTACCTCTACTATAATCTGCTCCCTTTTGTAAGTCACTTCATCTTCCTCCTCTTCTTCCTCCTCAGAGTCGTCAGAGTTTTCTCTATCTTCTTTCACAGCCCGGACCTCTCCTACCGATCTGTTCTCCCTGAAATATGGCTGCTCCTCTCTTTCATGGAGATGTGGTTTACTCATTTTGCTGTCCACCAACACAGAGTAAGGACTTCCTGACTCTCTCTTGTATACTTTGGTGGACAGATCAAGTTCCTGGCTGGCACCATGATAAAATGTGGGTGGCACTTGACCACGGCGACTGTCCTCTTGTGCCATCCCTGCTACATGCGCGGCACAGTTTTCAACCAACTGTTGGCAAGAATTGGCTGTTTGACTCATTTGGGGGGCCCTGATTCATTGAGCACCTTTAATCCCAGAAAACTAAGTAAGCAGCTTTAAATCAGGATGGACTCTCAAGACTGATGCCTGTTCCATCTACACAGAATGAACAAAATACGATTCTCTGCTGGTGTTTAGCACTGATGTGTAGGTCACAGAATTCTGGTATTATGGCAAGAGCAGAGCAGTAGTAATTATTCTTCTGAAGAAAGTTGCCAACGAGTCGTTGAACATTTCATCTATAAGAGATAACAGAGAAAAGAAAGTCAATTAAAAAAACCCCCAAACACTAAAATCTTCAGCAAATTCTTTTGAGTTTGTACAACTGGAGTAAAACACAGGGTATATCATCTATGAGCTGATCTGCTGGGGGTGGACTGTCCTATAGCACTATCTTCAGCAACACTGGCAGTTATGTACAAATATGTGCACCTTTTGTGGGGATCAGAACTGGTACTAGACTCCTGAGACATGGAAATCAGGGCATGCTATCCATTTCAAGATGAATATTCTCCACCCACCAAAGATCACCGGCACCTGCCTCAACATTGGGCCAAGATGCTGATCTGTGTTTCTCCTGGACTCTTGGGAACGCTGATGGCCCCAAGACTCTGCTCTACTCCCATATGCCTCTCCATCAAACAAGGTGTGTAACTACACAGAAATACCTCTTCTCCTTCTGTATCTCCCAACGGGAGCCCATCCTTACCCAGAAAGGGGACATATTATACCAAACAACATTCCATTAATGTAGATATGCATGAAGAATTTAAATGGAGACATTTTCAACTTGCAGCATTAAATCAGATTAGAGAACATCATGTCCCCTGCTCGTTTCCACCTCAGAGATCCCTCATACAGCCTCTTGATTTAAGGCACTTATTCTTTTGTCTCATTCTCCCTTCCCCCAGCTACTTACTCCTCAATGCAATAGCCAAACAATATTCCATTTACCCATCTAAATTTCACTTGCAGTTATCCAAGTTGGAATTTGACCAGGACACTGTTACTTCCTCTTGCAAAAAATGCCACGTGATCCCTAATGAATACAAGTAATCTCACATCTATTTTTTCACCAGGACAATTACATTTTGGTAGCACAGTATTGCAACATCAAGCCAAGATTTTTGGCTGTGCAGACGAAGTCAGAAATACATTTGAACTCCTGATCAAACAGCATACTCAGAGCTAAACCTATGACTAGAGGGTGCAGAAGAGGAGAATTAAGGACAGAGCCTAAGACATGTCCCATGACTAGTGGAGAGAGAAGGGCCCTAACAGAAAAGGGATGGATTGAGGAGCTAACTATGAAGAAACCTGGATTCTCACTACCAGAGTCTGAAAATTTCCTTTAGGCTATAAAGCTTGGGCTAAGTCCAGCAGACAGGTATAAAACACTTGGATTTCACAGAATCATATGGCCATTTTTATTATTAGTATTCTTGGAGTAACAATAAAAAGCAATAAACCTAAAGCACTATGACAGACATGGCTTTTTATTATAAATTTCTTTCCACATCATACTGAGTTAAAATACTCTCTGCACTACAAATGTGGTAACTTCCATCCAAACATGTTTTGATACCATTTATGTATTATAGTTTCTATTTTACTCTTCCCTCAGAAGTTTCCCTCTTTGAAGTGAATTTAATTGAACACCAGATGAACCTACCAATGGTGTCCGTGGTTTGAATAATAAAAAAAAGAGTCACATAACCAAACCAGTCTGATTACTAGCTTAAAGTTAATTTAACAGATTCTTGAGCAGTTCTCCAATATTTCCAAACGCACTCAAAAAGTGTCCTGAAGATGCCTGACAGAGTGACTTGCAGACAGACTCACAGCACTGCAACAGCAGGGTCTATTCCCACTGCTCCATCCTCAGCAGGGTCTCAGGTCCCAGTTTCCCAGCTCCAGAGGTGAGGCAGGAAAACAAGAGCCAAGATCCAGCTGGGCCAGGAAATATGTGGAGATGGGCTGTTAACATTGTGAAATGGGCTTGTGATCACAAGTAATATTCAGATGGAACAACTAGTAAATAATAAAATAAACTGGTTGTGATTGCAAGCCAAAATTAACAACCCTATACCCAGGAAGGCCCTTAGGAAGCAGTGGGCACGATGAAATCCAGTTTAGCTTTTCCTTTAACAACATTTAATGAATTATTCAGAAGCTCAGAAAAATCACTATGTCATATAGAAAATGATAACCCGATTATTTCCTCTGCATATTAAGCACCTCTCGCAAGCTGCATGAGTAAATCGGGAAGGCTATCAGAATGTTACTGCTAGATAGCCAGAAAAAAAGCAAAAAAAACTTGCCATGAAAAGGAAGTTTTACCCCCACTCCCCATTTACTGAATGCAAAAATAATCTCTTTAGATATTCTGCCATCGTTTCACCTCTGCTCACTTAAGGAATATTCTGTATAATAAACCACTTTGTATGAACACAGTACCACTTCAAATAAAAAACAACAAAGGGGCTTATTCTGACTTATCAAAGCTATTCGGTCTTAAAACCACTTCACTCTGCAGAATCAGTAACCTACTTTCACTTTGAATACGCCGCCTGCTACCCTCAAGGGACCTGCAACTTTCGAACAACATTATTTAACAGTTGAACAGCTGGTAAAGCAAAGGCCTCCTTATACATTTAATACAAACAACGCGCTACTAGACTGCTAACAGTTCTGAGTGACAGCAGTTTAAATACTGCCCAAAATACTTTAATAGAAGATTTTTTCCCCTTAAATTTCTAATCCCAAATGTAAGAAAGCAACATTTGGGTGTTTTAATTTTTGCCCTTTTTTTTTTAATAAGGTGAATCCACTTTTTTCAAAGCTGCTGAACAGCATGGGCTCACAGAATGAATTTCAGCCATACTACAAAAGGCAATACAGGTTCTGATTAAAATGTAAAAAGAATACACAGTTTTGAAGCAATTTTTGAAGAAGCTTATTGAGACATAAACCTGAGGAATAACTGTACTAAGAGCATTGAATGAACATGAGGAATACGCAGCACTTCGTAATCAAAGATCATACAAGAAAGGTTTGCAAGCCTACGAATATTAAAGGCTCAAACCCAGAAAAAAGGTACAAACAACTTGCAGACAAATGTGTAGGTGGAGGAAGCATGTGTAATGTGGGAGCAACACTTATACCATGCTTTCGCTACTTCTAAAGGAAAACCGCATTTCTTCACATTATCTGTACTAAAAATAGAGCCGTTTATAGCAGAGAGCACCAGCACAATTACCTGCCCCAACTTTGGTTCGGTAGATGCCTTGAAATCGGCACAGAGCAAGTGCAATATACTGAGATTAATGACTTTAAATTCCATGTCCTTAGTTTGCCCTCAGAGAGGGACCAACTTGCCAGTCTGGCTGTATCATATTTTCATCTAACCTGTGCCAAGGACGTACGATTTGACTTCTGGCAAGAATCCACCAGAAGCAGACACTGATGTAACGAAAAACACTGCTTCTTCCAGCTTTTGTAGTAAGTGAAGTGCTTGCGCAGTCATTTCTGCCTATCGGGGCTCCCTGTGAGCCACTGACCCCTGCATGGCCTACAGCTGTTTGCCTGCAATCACAAACAGGCTGCCAGCCCCGCAGATGTGCACTTAACTGCTCGTTCTTTCTGCCTGGATGTTTCTGGTGGCTCCCAAAAAAGCACAGAAGAGGCACTTCGGGGCACTCCACAACCAGCGATGACCCTGCCACTGCTGGTCAATCTGACAGTGGCCTATTTTTTTTTTTTTAAATTTTTATTTTTAACCAGTTTAATTGCTGCCCACAGAAAGTTATCAATATTAGCTCTCAAAATTGACAGACGCTGGTCTAATTCACTTTGCTGTAGGTTGGCAAGTCTAGAAGTATTGCAAGCACAAGGGTTATTTGTCCACAGACACAAAGATAGCACTGTATTGATTTATTACTTAGTTAACATCTGGAAGTTCCCCCCACTCTTCCCAGATAGCCATAAGGGCCAGAAAATGCCTTTAAAAAAATACTCACGCCTCAGTTCACAAATCAGTGGCATTTGCTTGTGTAAGTTTTACACATACCATAGGGAAAAAGAGGAGGAACAGGAAGAGCTTGGGGCCTTCCTGCAGCTCACCTACTTCTTGCATGAATAGTCAGTACTATAAAAAAAAGAGATTGCAATAGTCAATGTCCAACATTAAAAATGCATTAATTTATTAGCCATCCATTATTTTCTTTCTTTGTTATATTACAGCCTTTCAAGACAGGCACAAAAGATAATTTTTGGGTTTGTTTATGAGCCACAGTACTAGATTTCATTTCCAACTTGGTACAGTTAAGAAGTGCTCGCAACCTTAATACAGCTCACAAGACACCAAGACAAAATTATTTCTCCAAAATTATATAGCACCTAACACGGGGGTGGGGGGGCATCTGAGCCACAGCTAACACTGCAGCACTGAAATACTACACACCTTACACAAGCTTCACAAATAATCTGCACACTTCCTTTACAACACAAGACCTTCACATGAATCAATCCCCCCAACTTAAGTTTTTCTTCCCCTCTTCAGTTTAGGAGCAGACAGATCTCAGTTTAACCACAGCTTTTTAATGGATACAATCAAGAGGCATTGTGGGGACTGACTAGGTTTTCTACTCTGCCATTTAGATATATAGACCATTATACATAAAGCCAAGTTCAATGAGAAAGTTTGAGTATCTTGAAATTGGAAAGTTGCTTTTCCATAAAACAAGACTTCTCTCAGATTACAGTTATAAAAAGTTAAAAAAAGTATAACTGTGTTGTAATTAAAGGCAATGCCATTTTGCATATGCATTAACAATCTGAAGTTTTTAAGGATCCTGGATGCCTTTTGGTTGGAAGCTACACTCCAGCAGCTCCATTAAGTCCTGGGGCAACCAGATTTGCACACAGTTCACAAGTGGTGAAACAACCATGTGCATAAATAAATAATTTACATTATTTAAGATAATACACCTATTTCAAACCAGTCAAGTAGTTCTTGAAGAAACTACACTCAGAACAGGACTAAGGCAGTGGTTGCAGGTTGGGGGGATTAATTAAATACAGCTCCAACGTCATGCCAAACCTGGGACATGTTACAATCTGGCTACCACCCAAATTTCTAACCAAAACTGGAGCACCAGCCTCCCTGCTTCTTTTCTACTCATCAGGTAGAAATTTCTAGTACAGCTAAAACCTATGTGAATTCAGAATGCAAG